GTAGGGAGGTACCATATTGTCTCATGTAGATGTACTATGTGAGAAAACAAGAGAGAAAAAGAAACCCTTAAGACTGGATGAAAATTTTGTCACTTTACAACATGAGCTATGTAATTGTAAGAGTGCTTCTGAATTGGCCATTTAGATAATTATCTAATGACTGGTAGAGGAGAAAAATAAAGGTTAAGGGGAGAACATGGCTTGAAACTGTGACGTCTCAATATAAAATTGTATGTGAAATGGTTGTGAAGCTGGGGTGGCTTCCAGCTTGGTTTCCAGCCAAACAAGAGGGTCCACAGCCTGACACAGTCGTTTGCCCCACCAGCTGAAAGTTTGCCTCCCTAATTGGGAGTTTTGCCTCTGTGACATAAAGAACCCTCTGCCAGACAACCCATGTGGTTTTTACCTGCTGGCCCACTGACAGGGGACATTCCCATCAGAGGTGATAAAAACCTTTGGCACTTTTTTGGGTTTTGTTTTTGCCTCGCTTGGAATAGGTTTTTGGGAATGGCTGGGTAGAGAAAGGGAGTTAGGAGGGAGAGAAAATGGGAGCAGGACTTTGACCTGCCAGAGAGGAGCCCCTGCTGCCTCGGTCAGTCTGACCCATTGAATGGCCTGAATACGATAAATGCCGCTTTATCCTGCCTTGAAAGGCACGAGATAGCACAGTCTAAATGCCCGGGCATGCTTAAATAGGCGACTCGGGATGTTTGAGTTGAGCGTGTTTGAAATCTGAGCTCTCCGACAGCCTGGGAGCTGCCACAGGTCACCTGCCTTGCTCCGCAGGGACAGACCAGGTCTCACAAGAAATTGTCCATAGACGAATTGTAGTACAAATTCCTTTCTTTGTTGGTTGGCCTCTTTCACTAGACCATGGCCTATAAAATTTTGTAAAAACAATTCTTAAATATTATTTGAAAGGGCAAATGGCCCACGCTGAAAGGTTTGACAGTTTGACATATAGTGCATGGTTTTGATAGCTCGGAAACTGAAAAGTGTTGCCAAGATTCTCTCCCCCTGCTTGTTAGAAGCCTGGTGTTTTTTAAATAGTGTCTTGTTGCCGTGCAGAGTTCCTCTGTTCCTAGCACTCTGACAGGCAGTGAGTCTGCTTCAGGGATCTTAAATCCTTTTAGACTAATTTGTGAGAGAGCAGGACAAGAACTAGCACCTTTGAATCCAGTGTCCCCAAAGCACAGAACCAGGTATTGCCAATTAAGGAGCCATTCGGATAATCATATCAAAGCAGATTGCCGCAGAGTCTTCCGGTAATACCAGAGCCAGTGCCTAGAGAGAGAGGAGCCCAGAGTTTCACTTGCGTGAGGGTAAAAAGGGATTTGAGTGGCCTGGTCTCATCAGAGCTGGGCAAATCGCAAGGAAGCGTATTTCGGCATCAGAATGTTGCTTGTGTGCAGGCAGTGTGTGCTCAGCGCCCGTTGGCTGCCTCTGCATAGCCAAAGGCCATGTTCAGGAGCCTCTGGCCCCTCAGTCACTGGCCTGCTAGTTAATTGCCACACGGACTTCATGACACATGGGCAGATAATATGACATTTTCAGTTTCTGTCACTAGCAAACGCCACAACGTTGCTTGCACTAGTTGCTAAGAAGCTGTCAGAAACCATTAGCAATTGGCTAAAGTCGCCCTATGGCATTTCCTCATAGCATCAGCAAAACGAGCATAAATCACCCACTGGAGCCTACTGCTATCCTAATGAGGCTGTAAGCTTGTTTATGGACTAGCATCATTTTTATGATTATTTCCACCTTTTCAGTTTGCCTTCATTTGGCGGTAGGAGAAGTCAGCTCTAGAAATGAAGTCACTGCTGACATTTTACAAATGTGGTTCAGAGCTGCTGCCTGCTGCCATGTGGTCAGCCGGCGGTTCTCCAAGTTTGTTTAGTGATCTTAAAAATAAAAAAAGGAAATAAATCCTCCAGAGACCACATAGAGGTGATTGTATCAAATTTCAGAGTGAATGGCAACGCTAAAGGTACAATTGGCCATTTAGATGTCTCCACATCAATTTTCAATTTAAAAAAGTGGAAGAGGTTAAACAATTTATTAAAATCTATGAAAGTGTTTGCTTTTAGAATAGCCTGTTGTATTATGCTCTTCTCCTTCCCCATCGTCTCCATTTCTCTAACTTGTGTCGAGAAGGAGCAGGGTTTATTGTTTTAGGCTTTTCTGAACATGCACCAGTATTTACACTGGATTGAAAGCATTTGCTTCCAATGAAAATCTTGTCTTAGATTACAACCCAGCAGTGTAATTTCCCTCCCAGATGGGAGTAAAGTAGCTGTATTTGCCTAAAAACAGTAGGAAGAACAAACTGTGCATTAAGCCAAGGCTGTTTTTGGCTTGAGCTAATGATGTAATAGGAACCTTTTATTCGGGAGAGGTCACTGCCAGGGACTGAAGGGGGTGATCTGGCTCCTGCTTGAAAGGTTTCTCCATTGTATCTACATAAGTCTTCACTTAAAAAATTCTGTTCCTAATGCTTCTGCTTTCATATAGCAGAAATAAACAGGAAAAGGTTCTGGTGACTGTTACACATGGAATGCAGAAAGCCTTCCTCTCCTAATGGAGTATATAATTCAGGTGCCCTCGAGGCACGCTTTCAGGAATTCTTTTGCCTGAGGTAATGGGAAGCGAGCCTGCTTTAAGGCCTTGATTATCTATTGATGCACAAAGCTGGAAAAAAAGTCATCTCCACTGGATTACAGTAGATATTTCCATAAATTATCAATGAATTCTCTTCGAGGCAGGCACTAGGCATTGCCTGCTAAATTAATCTGAAGGGGTTTTGAGATGGATAGAAAGGCTATCTTTTTTTTAAGGTGGAAAACAATCATGGCGAGGTGGTGAAAAACTGTCATTAGGTGAGAAGCTTTCCATTTTTAATCAATGATCGAGTAATAGGTTTCTTTTCCTTGGTTACCTTTTGCATATTGAAAGTGGATTAGCCCATTGAAATTTTAAATGCTCTTGAGTTGTTTTCTTTTCTCATGTTTCTTTAATGAATTGTTATTTTATATGGTGAATTGCTTCTCTGAATAAAAAGCCTCTTTAAATACTGGACTTTCAAGGAATTTATTAGGCAAATCCAAGGGGACTCCTTATAAACCACTTGGTTATGCAAATAAAGAGTTTGGTGGTTGCAAAGAGCACTCTAGTAAGAATGTGGGTGTCTGGTCCAGCCAGACCCATGGCCCCCCTCCTGGGCTGTGTGACCTTGGGCAAGTCACCCAACAGGATCACAAGCCCTTTCTTCATTGATACAATGAGGGCTTTGGAATTGTGGGTCTTTATGATCTTTTCCACTGAGAACACAGCCATGATTCTGGGGAACTTTAACAAAATATATGGATTTTAAATACAATTATGAATTTGAAATTAAAAATTAGACTCAGAAAGTTTAAGCTCTGCAAAAGTTTTGTGGCATACGCTGTACTCTTAGCAGAAAGGTTGAAATTAGTCTCTTCCTTAATCAACAAAGGTTTTAAACTCTACCTCAGTACAAGTCAAGGCAATTTGGGGGTCACTTTTTGGGGGTGGGGGATGTCGCCTGAGGGAGCTGTGAAGAACAATAAATGAATGCAACATAGCTACTAGAGATTAGACTCAAATAACTGAAATCAAAAGAGAGGGTTTTTTTGTATGTAGGGTTTTTATGTAACACCAATAAGGAATGCAAAAATCCTTGAAGCAACGTAAAGGAATCTGAGACTAGTTGTAAGGTACAGTTATCACAAGGAAATGTCTCACCAAAGTGCCTGTTTCTCTGGGCCCTGTGGGCTGCTCTCTAGTGAGAGAGCCAGTGCACGTGCGTGCGCTGGGGGTACCGGTGACCTCACTTCTAAGCCTTGCTGTTGTGGCTCTTCTGTCTGGGCCCAGATCAACCTGTCCTTTGCTAAAAGCCAGCAGTTTCTGCCGAGAACAGGGGTACCAGGTTGGAGAAGCATGTTTGACAGAAGCTAAGCTGTTTTTTAGTGTGGGGAGTTTAGTCCATGGTTGTTTTCCCTTTTGACTTTTGTGCCCAAACACCAAGTGCGTACTTATCATCTGTATCTTATGACTTTGGACAGCATGATTATATGAGCTGAGTTTTCTTTCTTTTTTTTTAAATTAAATATGGCATTGTAAAAGGAATATTACATTTTCTACTTTGTTGTGTCACAGAGACAAAATATTTTCTACAAGAAACAACTTAAATGTTATCACAAAAATCAATGGAAAAACAGGATCCAATATACAGCCATGTATAAGCAGGTGACTTTCTAGTGAGGAAAATTTAAGCCTAGAAGAAACTTTAGGAGCTGCCTGGATTATTTAGGGTAATGCAATTCTGACTGACGACTAATCTAACATCACTTTATTTGACTTAAATAGTAACTTTTCTAATTGAAAGCTATTTCAGGAGTTTTTCCCTTCCTAAATTTGATGTTCTCTTTCCATGACAAGAAAAATTATATTCTGTTTGAAGCATTCCTGTGTCAAACTGCTTATATGATGGATTGGCTGCATTTCATGGCCTACTTGAGTCTTAAGCTAAATCATTTGTGGAAATAGCCGATATCTTAAATGCATCTTCTCCCAAGTTGACATCAGTAACTAACTGTGTGTGGGATCTCACTACTTAGGCAGGGATAACACCTCTGCTAGCGGCTGCCACCACATTTAACTCCCCAGTAGGAGTGACACTTAAGGTGTGTCTCAGCTACACACATCTGAATAATCACCGTGAACAAAGCTACCATAGAGATTGGCTATTTCCCTCCATTCCCTATGACCTTTCCCACCATTCTTTGGGAGAAGTTCCTTAGACCTGACTACTTTTCAGTATAGGGCTTGTTCTTTCTTTTTGTCTGGAAAAAAAAAAAGTACCAAATAAACGATTAATCATTTATATTGCTCTTTCGGTTTTGTTTATATCCAAAGGCATTCTATTTGAATGAAGCATGTCAAGGTAGCATCAGTCAAAATTTGATTCACTATGTTTGCAGGTGATGGCTTGGACAACAGTGTAGCTTCCCCCAGCACAGGTGACGATGATGATCCAGATAAGGACAAAAAGCGTCACAAAAAGCGTGGCATCTTTCCCAAAGTAGCCACAAATATCATGAGGGCGTGGCTGTTCCAGCATCTAACAGTAAGTGGATTCTAAATGACATATATAAACTAAATATGGACAATGAACCAGTTTTGATAGAAACAAAAAGTGGGGGAAGAATGATCCCTCTAGATTTAGAATATTTCATAAATCTCTTGTGTTCCCACAGTTTTGACAAAAGCATTAGCACTTGTTTCCTAGATACAGACCCCCAATGAGCAGTTTTATTTAAAGTTCGCTGCTGCAGTTTTGTTAACATTCGTAAGTTACAAGGTTTAGGAGTTCTTGTGCACTTGTAATTTTAAGTGTGTATGTTAATGATGTTGCTTTTATCCGTGTTCTTAGTACTTAGAGCCAGTTTCCACTAAGAAGGAAGTAAGACAAACCCCAGACAGAAGGACTTAATTTCATCCAATGATTTAGCAGACCCTTCTAGCAAGTGATCCAAAAAAATTTAAATCTTGCTGCAATGGCAAGATGCTCACATAATTTGCTTTCAAGTGGCTTGAATGCACTCGCTGCCATTGTGACCCATTCCTCTGAGTCAGAGCTACACAGTGAAAGTTGTCCCTGATTTAGAACTGTAAAGGAAAACAGCAATATAGAGTCAGCTCTTCCTGTGTAGTCCCATGTGACTTTTCAAGCAGAGTAACAGTTTATATTGTCTTTGTGGGTATTGCTGTTTCGCTGCAGGAATTATCCTGGAGATGTGAGAAACTGGAGATTTGGGGCTTTATGACACCGAGGGATTTGTTTTGCTTGGTTATTGTTCTGAATGAATTTCATGTTCAAAATATTTATAATCATAATATTTTGGTGGCTATTTCTGCAAGTGCATACTGACTTAATGGCATCTAAGGAAGAAGACAAAATGGAAATTTATGGGTAAAATAATATTTTAAAAAGCAAAATTGACCAGGGGGACTTTCAATATTAGGGACAAAGGATGGATTTAGGCAGGCTGCCATGTAGCCTAAGCTAAGATGAATGAATGTTAAAAATCTTGGCTTCTTAATATAAATGACAGGAGCAAAACTTTTATGTTCCTGTTTTTAGCATACTTTACTTTTCCTAAAGTCATTTATTTTTCTTAAGTATCAAAATTAATTCTGCACTGTCATAAACACGTCCAGGCCAATTGACCCTTGCAGCCTTTGCCCACATACAAAGCCATGTTCCTCTGACTTGTGCTGATACAAGATGATACACAGGGAGTGTCGAAAGCCACTCTGGTTCTGTTCTTCTGGATAGAGGCTGTGCCCCCAGTAACACTCGAGGGTGTCAATTAATCCAGACTTTCCAGCATGCATGAACAAAGTAAAAACTGACAGCAGCAGGAATGACTAAAAAATTCCCTCCCTTCTCTTCCTCCTCTCGTGATTCCAAACAGCAACTAGCCTAAGCTGACAGTTTTGGAATCAGCTTTAGAGGCAGATTCATGCTGGTTGTTAGCTGAAGATTTGGATCACTGAGCTGATATTAACTTCATATTAGGCTTACCTAGATTCAGGCACCATCACTCACCTGACACTTGTTGCATGTACACGTGGGTGGTCTGAGATCTGCCTTGTACCACTGAGGGTTATCAACCACTTCAGAGACTAGTGCCTAGTGAGCATGGCATGAAAAATAAATAGGATGGCATTTCAAATCAGCAGGTGACAAACAGTGACAATTGGTCATAGGTGCTGATGCTTCATCGCCAGAGCTGACCAGCTAACCTGGTCTGGAGGATGAGGCAGAAGACAGGACTTCGACCCTGAAGTCACAACCAAACTATTTCTATTTCCTCTACTCACAGAAAGGATGAGTAGATTTCATTAGCCTCCATTTCAGTCGGCAAAAGCAGCTTTGGCTTTACTTGAAGCTGAGGTGCCCCTGAATAAAATATAATCAAATATTGGTTCAGACAGAATCAGGAGAGAGAGAAGCAAATTCTTTTATTCACCCACAAGATTTCCTGGTTTTCTAGGTCGTACCCTTGTGAAGAACCTTGCAGAGAGCTTTATTATCTTCTTTAAAACAAAAACAAAAACCAAGAAACAAAGAAAAACCTTTTTAATGGCCAGCATGGTTTTACCTGTGCTCCAGTGCTTTTTGTGGTCCAACTGTAAGGGGGGAAGTCGTAACAGAAATTATTCATGAACTGCCTGATTTCTTGAGGTCTGGCTGATTTCCTTCAGATTTGGGATTTATGCTGGCCTGTACCACTCACTACCCTGGAAAGGGAAACCCTCTTGTCCACATCATCCTGACGTTCTATGAATGCTCATAAGAAGCTGCCTCGTGGTTTCCACTGGGTATCTCCACTCACTCCCACAGTCCACTACCATATGCTCATACCAGTATCTATTGACAATGATATATTGATATATTGATAACGATAGTGGTCTCTAAAAAGCAAATGATTTCATCGTGTCATCTAAAAAAGCACAAAGTTAAGAGATATATTTAAACTTTCTTCCTCTTCCTTTCTCCTGGTAAGGAAGATGCTCTTCCCTCTTCTCTATTGCAAGAGCAAATAGATGTCCAATTACAATGAATACCCTTCTCCTTGTTTCATGCTTTTTGAAGAAATGAAGAGACTGCTTAAGTAATATTTACAGTCAGGAGCTGGTAATAGTCAGTATTATGGAAAAAACTTATAGCATTTAAACAGGGTTTTATTATTATTTGTCCAAATATAAGTAACTACTGACATCTCAGTACTAATATTTTAGCAAGTTTCTAATATTTGTTTCAAGTTTCTAAGAAGTCTTCAGGGATGCACAATTCATTTGGAAGACTGTGTTCAAATTTTAAATGATCACACTCTTGCTATATGAGTAATGCAACTTTTCTAGAAAGTCCTTTGTGAAATCCTGCTAGGTATAAAAGAACAGTTGAAAATTATCCTCTAGGTGTAAAGGAACAATTGAAAAACAATAGCAACAATTCATATTACGAATATGTATTACAAATAATAAAAAAACTAATCTCTTAAATGCCAAAAGACATATTGTAAAACCTCACACACCTTTTGAAAGCAAATTGCTATTTTTTTTTCTTTTTCAGATAAATGGGTCAATCTTTTCATTGGGTTTATTCAGTTAAAAAGAATCTGCTTTTGAAAGGGCTTTCAAGCATTTGTGTGTTAGAGGAGTAGAATAGGCTCTGAATAAAAAACCTTTCTGGATTTGCACCCCAGCTGCATGAGAAAAATGTGCCATTCTGTCATTATCCACAGGTAGATTTAATCAGTAGCACATTTTACCACTCCAGAGAGAGGTCTAAAGCTTTATTCTTGGGCTTACAGTCTCTAGCGAGCTAAACTGGACATCCTTGTGTCAAATGAAAACAATAAAAGAGGGAGGAAACAGATTTTAAACTTTGGTGATTATGGGGTAAAAGGAAGTTTCGATTATGTGAATTTTCAGCGTAGACTTAGTTGAACATTTGCCTGTTTTGATAACTAGAGAAGGTCTCTTAAAAGAAATTATTCCCTGGAATTGAAAAGAATGACTGATGTGATTTAGATAATAAGGGAGAATTAGAAAGAAAATAAAAGCATTTACTAATAGAAGTGCTTGCATTTGCCTGAAGACAAATTATTGCAAACAATTAAAAAGCACTTAATATTTGTGTATGAGCCACTACATAGTCACAATCAGTTCAGGGGCATATACCACATCAAGGTTTCTCTTTCCTTACCGGCATTATTCCAACTGTAAATATAACCTACTATGTCATAATGTTTAAACTGGATGTGTTTTGCATATTACTGGTTATTTTGCTACATAGTGTTAACAAAGACATGTGCCTAAGGGCCTAGTGAAAGTGAGGAGAAGGAATGAATACAGTGTTTAGGTACTGAGTCTTTTTTCTTTTTGTTTTCCTACTCTGTGGTATACTCTATGATATTGTAAATATAATCTAAATAGAAAAGCAGTTAATATAGTTTTATTTAAAATATGCAGTTACATGTTTTCCGGCATGGAGCTGTCCCAGGAATCATGATTGCAAGATATTAAAAAGTGTACCTGCAGATTCGGGTGAAGAATCCGTGCAAGGGACACACATTTGGCATTGACCAGGAGGGGAGGTGATCCTGACGGTGGACTGATTTTCATTCACATTCTCTTGGTTTCCCCATACTTTCACTGATCTTGCTGATCCCATTGGGTGTTATAGAGACAAACTTTTGTTTCTAAGTTACAGGCACATATTTTACTACTTGGTTTTTTTCTTTGCTTTACTTCTTTCTCTTTGTGAACTTCCAGCTTGGAAATTTTTTTTTTTTTTTTTTGTCTGTCGCCAAATTAATGTCTCGATTTCTGATTTATAAGACTTCCTTCTCAATGTTGATAAAGCCAAAGTGAAGGGCTGTAGAATCTTCCAGGTTGAGAATGGCGTTTCCATAGAAACACTATTAGATGAAAAGTGCCCTGCGGGTCCGCCGCTCTAAGGATAGAGTAAATAGAATTGAATTGGGGATTGAATGCTCTAGAAGAGACAGATGTTGTTTCATTGGTTTTGCTTTTGGTAACAAGATTTGTTGGAGACATCTCAGTGCCATATCTCTGCTTGCAATTTTGGAAGAATTGCTCTCTAAACGTTAGGAATTATTATTACAATGGAAAACAACATCTAGTTGGTATCCAGAAAGCCCATTCTGTTGATCAAGGTGAGTGAAAGGTCAAAAGGCAGCGAGAAGGACCTCTAGGAAGGCATGTAGATAGGTAATAGATGGAATTTGCTCCTTTTGTCCCATTTCTCTTCCTATTTCTGACTTTACCTCTATACTTTGCCAGTTTTACAGTGAATATTCTTATGGTGCCTAACCAGCTAGCATTCTTCAGGTCCATTAATCCTTAGATGGTAGCAGACAGGAAGACTATATTCTCAAACTGCCTGAAATGTCGAATCAGGGTAGTACGGAGCACTTGAGAAGGACAGGCCCTCCCTTAGACTAGTCCTGCCCTCTCTTCACATTCACGGGCCTGAGACCAGGAAGTTGTCTGATTGAGACGGCAGCGCATTTTGATTCCTTCTTCGCTTTG